AAATTGGAAATCTGTGTCCTCAAAACAAACGTTGGCACCTCGACTCCTCCATCTTTTATGATCAAAAATTCATAACTTATTTTATAGAAGAATTCAAACAGTTCTTAGCTATTAATATTCCCTCCACAGATAATTCGTCATTACTTTGGGAGACCTCAAAGGCCTATTCAAGAGGTCTCATTACTTCCTATACAAGTTATAAAAGGCACAGACAAACTGAGCAGCAAAAAAATTTTAGAATCTAAACTAAAACTCGCTGAAGAAAACTATATTAAAAAACCCTCAACACACAAACTTAAGGAAATAACTGCTCTTCGTTCATCACTGGACTGTCTACTGACAAAGGAGGCAGAGATTAAAATTAGATTCGCAAGGCAAAGGTTATATGAACATGGCAATAAACCTGGAAAATACTTAGCACATTTAACAAAAAAGAAGTCTAATTCTCAGTCTATTTCTTCAATCACAGATTCAAACGGAAAACAGTTTTTTGATTCTGCAGCAATTAATGACATCTTTAAAAAGTTCTATGAAAACCTTTACAAATCTCAATTACATAATGATCCAGATTTAATAGATGAATTCTTCTCTTCCCTCAATCTTCCTAAGCTGACTGAGGAACAGAGGTCACAGTTGGATTGTCCCATATCAAGGAGGGAGTTATTGGATGCCATTAAGGAGCTACAAACAGGCAAAGTGGCTGGGCCAGACGGCCTTATTGCTGAATTTTATAAGGAGTTTCAAGAAGTGCTAGCTGAACCGTTACTGAATATGTATAACGACTCTTTTGAGAAGGGTATATTACCTGTCTCTTTAAGGGAAGCAAATATATCTTTAATACTGAAAAAAGGCAAAGCTCCAGAAGACTGTGCCTCTTATAGACCAATCTCTCTGTTGAATGTAGATTTAAAACTCCTTTCAAAGATTCTTGCGCGTCGTCTGGAATGTGTACTCCCTCTTTTAATTAACGAAGACCAAACGGGCTTTATTAAGGGCCGTAATTCAAATAACAACATGCGCCGGTTGCTTAACACAATCCAGATCTTTAATCAAAAGTCATTACCTGGTCTAGTGGTCTCACTTGATGCCGAAAAGGCATTTGACCGTGTTGAATGGCCCTACCTGTTTTCTACATTACGGCAGTTTGGCCTCAGTGAGAATTTTGTGAAATGGGTTATGCTTTTGTATAATAATCCCTGCTCAGCGGTTCTTACAAATGGGTTGCGGTACCCCAATTTCCATGTTTTGAGAGAGACTAGGCAGGGCTGCCCTCTCTCCCCCTTGCTCTTTGCCTTGGCAGTGGAGCCGTTTGCAGAAGCGGTGAGAGCTCGGGAGGACATACAAGGCCTAACCATTGGACAAAGACAGCATAAAATCACCCTATATGCTGACGTGTTGGTGGTATTGACTCAGCCCGAAACATCCATACCCTCTCTCATTGAGACCATCAATAAATTCAGTGACATTTCAGGTTATAAAATCAATTTCAACAAATCAGAAGTTATGCCATTAGGCATCTTGAAACAAAAACCCCAGACTCTCTCTTCTTTCCCCTTTAAGTGGTCTCCAGAGGGTTTTGTGTATTTAGGGATCAAGATCACACCTGCTTTTGATCAAATGTATAAAAGTAATTTCATCCCCCTGTTTGAGCGTGATAGATTGGACCTGGAGAGATGGAAGACCTTACCATTATCTTGGCTTGGCCGCGTTGCTCTTCTGAAATGAATGTCCTACCCAGGTTATTATATCCAATACAGATGGTTCCAATCCTTTTTACACATAAGACCATTAAAACTTTAAATAGCTGGTTTAGTTCTTTTATATGGGCAGGGAGAAAACCTCGTCTAAAAATGTCTACACTCTGTCTGCCATCCACAGAAGGCGGTCTCGACCTCCCAGACATAAGAGAGTACCAGCTTAGTGCTCATATGCGAGTAGCTGCTGATTGGATACAGAAACCAGTTTCTCTCTGGTTTGACATAGAGAGCTCCATGTCTGGCATCCCTCTGAAAAACTTACTATTTCTTAACAAACTTAAAAAATTTAAATTGTGTTGTAGTAATCCTCTCACCTTATCTACTGTTAAAGCTTGGCAAATAATTCAAAAGCTTGAGGGCAGGTCTAGCCTAGCATCTCTTTTCACCCCATTATGTGATAATCCCCTTTTTTTACCTGGGATTTCCGACTCTGGCTTTCAAGTATGGGCAACAAAAGGCATATCTGTTCTTTCTGATTTAATGGACGGGCCAAACTTGATGTCCTTTGATCAGTTATTTATCAAATATAATGTTCACAGACATGATTTCTTTCGGTATTTACAGGTGAGGGACTACATTTTGAAGAACACAACAGTTCTCAGCAACCAAAATGTCTCTGATTGTGAAAATTAATTATTTAAACCAAAAATTATAAGTTCTATTAAGACCTGTTATAGCTTATTAAAAGAATTAGGGGTTACTAAATTGACTACCTTAAAGGAGACATGGGAAAAAGAGCTAGCTATGGAGATCAGCAATGAGGCTTGGGATGAAGGGATGAGGCTTGGGAAAACACAAAATATTTAAGTGTTTCTAATAAGGTTAAAGCTATTCAACTTAAAATTTTACATCGGGGCCATATATCTCCACATCTGCGTCATCAAATTAATCCAGACCTTTCTCCGCTTTGCCCCAAATGTAAAATAGAGGTGGATAATCTAACTGACTGTCTTTGGTCCTGTAGGAAAATTCAACAATTCTGGTCAGTATAAAGAAAGAGTTGGACAAGATCTTCTCCGTTAGCACTTAGTGTAATCCAATGTATATGTTACTGGGAGTGACAAACAGCCTTAAGAAGAATTGTAAAAAACATCTGTACAGGATGCTTACATTTTGTGCTAGAAAATGTGTCCTCTTGAACTGGATAACAGATAAGGTCCCATCCACAACACAATGGCAACGGACTGTCCTTGAATATGTGTCATTGGACTTTTTAACCAGTAAATTACACAATAGAGATTATATGTTTTGTAATATTTGGGATCCCTTTATATTGTATACTGGTCTCCCTAATTTTTTTTGTTTTTTGTTTTTTTGTTTTGTCTGTTTGTCTTTATTAAAATGGAAAAAATAACTAATAAACATATGCTTAAAAAAAAAAGAAAAGAAATGAAGCCGGTGAGGCAGCAGCGACCTGGAGCGAGAATATGGGAGCATATTCGTCCTGTCTGTACGCCGGCAATAAAATGACTAAAAAACATTTAATATATGGACTGATTTTCCTAAATTTAGCTATGTACAATGTACAAACGGCAGAGAACAGACTCGAGGTGAGGCAGGCAGTTCTCTTGCCTCATCGCTGGG